TATATATATATATATATATATATATATATATATATATATATATAAATTGCAATAATAACTTTAACTAATAATTATTTTAAAAAATAATGTTATAAAAATGTTTATTTTTTTCTATCAAGAACTATTATTGATACGCTTTATTTTTTTATTATATAAAAAATTTTTAAATTTCTTCTTATTTATGTGATTTTAAGTATCACTAACTATAGAGTGACGAATACATGTTTACCGTAATACGCATGCGTGAACAGACATAAGAATGTGAATGAAAAGAGAGGGTAGACAGAATACATAGACAAAAAGAATACAGCATCATATCCACTTTTAGCAACATTGCTCATTACAGCTGACATCAGCTGTATTATATTCTGTAGCTTTCTTACCTTCTTGTTTTCTACTATAATATCTGTTTTGTTCTGTTTTTAATAATGTTTTACATGTTCAAAGTAATTTTTTTTAAATGAATACAATTCATATATGTATTACATTATGAATTGTAATAAGAAATAAAAATTAACATTAAAAATTAAGTCTGATATGAATATTGAATTTATTAAATTAAATTCATATTTGAATTTATTAATGATAATAAAAATATTTAAAATATTTATAGTATATTTAATATAGAATAAAGATGAATAATTTTTTAAAGAAATTGATATTAAAAAACATGAAGCATATTATTGCATACATGTTTAATTCATGTGTCCTATTAGATAATTGATTAATTTCATTAATGGAAATGCAATTTTTATACTTTAGAATAAATACAATAAAATGATATAAAAGAAAAAATACTTTAGATAGTATATATAACATAAATAGTTCAAAAAAATAAAAATATATTAAACGCAAATTATAAGTAATATCTTTATAATATTATATATTGCTTGTCAAATAATAATAAATATTATTTGTTGTTTGTCATATTGTAACTAATTTATTTTATATTATATATTATTTCGTAAAATATAACTTTATACTATTATACTTTATACTATAAATTATAACTTTATAACTATTTTCAAACAATGAATATATATATATAAATTTTTATTTTTATAATGAAAATTTCAATTATGAAATTGTTTTTAAACTAACAAAAAAATAAAAAAAAATCAAACTATTAATATTAGAGTAAAATAAAAATTTTTTTATGTGAAAATAAAAATTTGTCTAAACGTACGATATGATGCTGAATCAATGTTGGTATTAGTTAGTTGCAGCATCTATGATATCATTGATGGCGTAATCATGAAGACTACGATCCATGACACAGATCAAATAGTTAAAAAAGACAATCATATTTCGCAAAGATAAATGTTTCTAATTTGCAATTAAAAAGAAGATTTATA